TCTCTAAAAACAGTCCACAGGGTCTAACTCAGGTGAGCAAAATTCAAGGTGTGTGTATCTGAAGGCTTAACCTCTCAGCATGGTCTGTGCGGTGACCTATGCTCTTGTGCGTGTGGGCGTTGCCACTGGTCTCAGACACTGTGGTGGGCACTATACACTACATACTATCTATAGGAAGTACATAGGAAAGCCACCATTGAAGAGGAAAACAGGTAAACCTTTACAGCGCCTATATGTGATTACTGTATAGCGCGTGCTTGGTTTTCTACCGGCAGTCCTGGTTTTTATTAATGTATTGTTATCTAGTTGCTGGTGTGTTTTGGAAGGAGGTGAAAAAGGAATCAACAAAGAGATGCACACAGTCGGCACAGCTGCAGACAGATGTCACACACACACACACACACACACACACACACACACACACACACACACACAGGGGTACTTTCAGACCAACCTCAGCACTAGCTAAAAGAAGAAGCACCAGGAAGACTAGTATAAAAGCTTTTCAAAAACCAAATCAAAGCTGTTTTTTTTACTCTCTATTGTAACAATCATCATAAGAGAAACAAATTTTCTTCTCTGCCCCAGTGCTTCTGTGCTGATGCTGTGATCAGCTCTGTAGGCTCAAAAGAAGATTAGAAACTACGAAATATATGCTATTATTGGTTTTAAAAAAGACCCAATTTCCATATAACTGGTTGTCTGGTTGGTTTAGAAGGTTAAGAACTAAAGATCAAAATTGAAAACAACTGTAAAGAAATCTAAGGGAGGAGCTGCCATATCACACACGGAATAAGACCATTAGCTAAACATACAAAAATGCACAGATAATGTAAAGGACTCCTACCTGATGTCCTTCATTGGTCAGAATGACCTGTTTCTCCTCAGAGTTGGCCACTTCAAACTTCTTGATGAACTCACAGTCCTCCACTGAGATCATTTGACTCCTAGAAGACAATTAATTGAGACAATACCACTTTAGCACAAAGCTATCTTCATGTGTGCAGCATCACTCATTTCCTTTACTACTGGAGCAAGAGATATAACACACATGTACAGTATGCTGCTGAATCTCACACTGGCAGGGTGGGCTTTGCCTTGTCACTAGCATGCTGCTTCTAATTGCAATTGCACAATAATGGCAATGAATCTGGAAATACCACATGTTCTAGTTAAGGCAAAATACACCATGTATAGTGCATGAAGACAGGCAGTTATAGTAAAAAACATTGTAGAACTGTAAATCCATACTGAGTGAAAGAAGGAATCAAGTAATCAGATGATTTGTTAGGAGTGATACTATGAGTCAAAAGTCAGATCTGCTGTATTAAAACACACAAGCTGAAAGAGGAAGTATCACTCAAGACAGTGAATCACAACTCACAAACTTTAAGATTAGAACACTGCACTCTGTCTGTAATGTAACACTGATATACTCAGAAAGATTGATGCAATGAGAGCTTAACTCGCCTAAGAACTGTTTCACATGCTGACTTAAAGCTATAATACAATATTACAACAAAATATGAAATATATAAAGCTTGTAGGGTGTACATTTTTCTAACTCATATAATTAAAGCACTGAAACTTCTCAATATCATTAAAAGTAGACCCCCAGAAGAAAAAGAAAAAGAAGAAGAAGAAGAAGAAGAAGAAGAAGGTATGTAAATGGAGTTGACAACATATTGAAACAGCCTTTGCAGCCTAGTCCAACATCACCACCCATTATGATCTCACTAATAAACATTAAGGAGAATGATTACCTCTCTGACAGTGGCAACAAAAACAGAACATTTATATGTCTTGTAAAAGCAGAAGTCATGGAAGAGCTGTTGTATTAAAATGCATTATATTGTTCAGGTGTACCCAATAGACTGTCCAGTGAGTGTATGTTAACATGATATACAGCTGTAACTTGTACTCACTGCAGGTAGGACTGCCAGTTGACCAGATTGGCCCGCACCTCAGCTGCCTTTGCAGCAATGATGTTGGTGGGGACTGCAGCGTCCACAGCCCCGCGGATATCCATGCTGTGATATGTCCACTACAGTATATGTCAGAATAAAAATCCAACACCACCTGGATGGAATCACCACAATTAACATTAGTGTCTCAGGATTAAGGGCAATGTTACAAGTTTTGGCTTGTTTTCTGTATGTGTTTACTACAAAGTAAAAAAAAATGCTGATAGCGCACAACAACAAATAACAGCCAGCCAAGAATTTAACGCCTGATGCTGTGATGTATACCTGATAATCAACGAAATATGGTATACGAGCTACCTAGCATGTTTACCAGAGCTACCAGGAAGAAAGCCATCATAGAGCGTATTTTGAGCTACAATCGATTTACCACTGATGATAAGTATTTCGACGTGTGGCAGAAATATTTCATCTCAAAAGTTTAATTCTGTCGGTAGTTAGTCCAACCGCTGAAGCTGAAACCGCTAGTCACAGGTCATGCTAGCTAACTAGCTCCAACCAATGTCACGACAAGTGACGATGAGTCCTCCGAGAGCTGAGATAAAACAACGCAGTGCATACCTTTTGGCATTAAACTCTATTAAGGTTGTATCCAGATATAATGCGTACATATTAATCTGTCAAGTTCTCACTTTGTCAGTGACAAAGATATCGCCGTTAGCTAAGCGATTGCTGGAAAAAGCTAGTGAAATAAGCTGAGGATGCTAACCTGCGCTAGCTGTGCAAACATAGCTTCTCTTCCATTCTAACACTGTGTCAAAAAAGACAACCGCTACAAAGGCAATAACATATTCAGAATAACAGAATTCGGCAAAAGATACGTTTTTCAAACTATAGCATATTATATAAGAAGTAAGTAAGTAGAAATTCAGATGAATTACTCACCCTGCTACTGTCCTGTGCGAACAGCTGAGAGACTACAACACGGCGTCACGATCTATCATGTGACAGTCAGTCACATGCTCTGCCTCAGCCTGACTCCTGCAGAAGTAACACAGGACTGAGGAGCCTCGGTTTCAGCTCAGAATAAATACAACCGAAATGGTAACATTTTAAACACCATTGCTACAGTGCCTTAGCATAAACAGCTATTCAATAATTAATTCAATACTTTAGAGGGGTGAAAAACTAGTACTGTACTTATACTACATACAAATTTGATTTTGGATTATGATTTTGCATACAAAAATATTATAAACTCAGGAAATGTGACGGAATTTTATTGATGAAACTACACAACTGTGTAAAAAAGTTAGCTCCATCTCAACCAGCTACAACAGTCAAATGCTAATTACATATTAATGCATTGGTAATAAAAAATCCAATAATATATAAAATAGGATATAACAACTGTTAATTGCTCTTTTTTTGCATCGACTAGTTTTAGCGAATAATACTTTCATGCTTGTACTTCAGTAATATTTTCAGTGCAGGACTTTTACTTGATATGGAGTTTTTTTCGCAATGCAGCATTTCTACGTCTTCCCTCCACTGGGTATAAGAAGGAATATCTTTAGATTTAATATTATTGTGTTACTCCTTATTTTTTCTCCTCTGTAAACATGGTGGAAATGTGGTGCTATAATGCAGTGCTATTATTTGAGGTTACTAAGCCAATTCAGTTTCATTTCCTAAACTTAGAAAATTCAATTGATTGGACAAGATAGGCTACAGGAAATTTCTCATGATTAGTAATGATAATAATTATAATAATAAAAATAATAGACTCTTTTTACCTATAAAATACACTGAATTGATAATGTAGACACACAAGGGATAAATATAACATAAATAAACGAATAAGTACTAGATAACATAAATACAAATTCTAAAGGAAAAGGTTGGACATTACAAAAAGGACTGTTACAATAAAAATAAAAAAAAGGTAAAATGAGTTTTGGGAAGTTGCTACTGATATGGTTTGTCTGAGATGCTCAGGCAGGGAGTTGATGTAATGACTGAGGAACTCTATACTCTCTTGTTGTCCTTTTAATAACTTACTAACTTTGTCCAAAACCCCTGCAGTGAAATGTGAAACTGATACAACCAAAGTGGACTGTCTGTGACTTTGCTGCCCGAACATGGACAGGACTATAAATAGCCTCTATAAACAAAACCAATCTTGGAAAGAGAAGCAGACTAAGATAATACTGTGATTTCCTGTCCGTCAGTAATATTTCTGACATCCTGATGGGGGCGAAAAAATTCAAATCATTTGACTCAAGCCAATCAATTACAATCAGCTGTGTTATCACTTGGTGGTGTGCTTTAACTTTGTGGCTTTGTGAGGATGATGGAGGGCTAAAGTCAGTTGATTGCTCACACTGAGGAGCTTTGATCAGCGTTTATCCTTGTGAGTCTGTATTGAGTGGCACGACCACGTATAACATGTTAGAGGCTCCTCAGTAAACTCCTGAACAGACTAGTAACACAGTTGTCATCTCAGGAATTAAGTGTGTGTGTGTGTGTTAATGGTTCTAAGTGTCCACTGTGGCCATATGTTTCCTCTACAAAGACCAATTACCAATGTGTTTTAATCCTTTGTATTACATGGGAATTCATCAAGAAGCATATATAATCACGAATGAATCCACGTCTGTCACTAGTCTTCCTCTCCGTCCATCTCACTCAGACACTAAGACCTCCTGGCTTAATCTGGCCTAAGCTGGTGAGACAGTAAAGCACAGAGGAATCAGGATTGCATCCAGTAGGAACATTGTCCTAATCCCCTTCTGCCCTCTCCTTTGTGAACACTCTTCTCTTTGTCAGGGTCGCTGATGCTTTTTTTTTTTTTGTCCTCCCTTCTCTCTCTCTCTCTCTCTCTCTCTCTCTCTCTCTCTCTCTCTCTCTGTCACAATGCGCTTCAGAAGAGACGCCGTGAAAACATAGAGGAAAAGAGCAAGGAGTGTGTGGATTTCTTATGATCTCAAACGGACTTGAGCCTCACGTGGCGAGTGAGGCCTCATGGTCGGAGCATGCCATGTGCTAGAGCGGTGAGGCAGTGGGAGATCAGGCCCACGTCTGCTCTGTGGGGGATCAGACGCACCAGGGCCCTGATGTGGCAGCGGATACGGGGACTGGCCCGGGCCTGCCGGCATGGTGCGGGGTACCCGGTGAACTACAATGACCCGGACCGAGAGGAACAGGAGATGGTGTGCCTTGAGGTATGGAAGTGTGGTAGTTTTTTTCACATGAAGCGTTACTAGAGTTGACGACAGCCTCATTATCATAAACCTATCTCCGATTATTACTTTGGAGCGGATTTTCATGGAGAAAAAGTCACCAACCAGTCAAGTAAAACCACAACTGTACATAAGTAGAGTTTATTTTGCTCAGAGCACATATTTCAGATATGTTTTGAATCACACCATGCTGATCATTGTGTTGTTTATTTGTTGTTGCACTAGGAAGGAGCCACGGATAACAAAAGAACATAAGTCTGTTGCTGAAAGTGTTCTGTCAAAAGGAATGATTTTGACACTTGACTAATTAAACCTAGAGTATCAATACCACTCCAAATAATATTTCTTTATTATTAATTGCATGCAGTAAATGAAACATCCCTCATACTGTCTACTGTTGTTGTTGTTATTGCAACCAGATTGCTCTTGTCCGAGTGTCAGCAGCCCTTCTTGCTTCTTTCCAAACCTCTATTTAGGGAAGTACTTCCTGTCTGAATGAAGCTTAAGAAGATTAAAAGAAGAAGATGGTGTGTCTTAAAATAGTGTGAAACCAGTCATTAGAAATCTAAAACAAGTTGCATAGTCAGTGACACTGACAGTCAAAATACATGACAGCCAGTATTAACTCCCAATGTAATGTAATGTAATGTAATGTAATGTAATGAGAAACAAGTACATAAATGGTTTCTAAAAATAGTCTGAGGATGTGACTCTGGAGTTTGGCAGCAGAATGATTCTTGGTAAAGGGATAAATAAAGATTTCCGAGGGCTTTCTGTAGTAAGGAGAACTATGTTACTATTCACAGAGGGGAAGGGATTGTAAAAGAGCCACGAGGACACAGGAGGTGCTTCCAGAACTGAGTGGGAGGACAGGAAAAGAGAGGAGACACTTCAGGTCATTAACATATACATTACACAAAGTTGTTGGTCGGCCAGGTATCTCAGAGCAGAACTGGAGCTTGTCAACTTCAAACTATTTCATACTGTGAAACTGAACTAAACTTAATAGGAATTAAAGCAGGACTCATATACGGGTATATGAGACTGGATGGAAGAACAGTTTTATGAAAACATTCATTCGTGGATGCTAATGTCAAATATGAAATTGAAAAATGTCATTACCTAATGTTTAGATACAATTCACAGCAGAGGTTTTGTAATAGCAGGTAAAGCACAGGTGTAATTAATAATACTAACAAAGGCCCTGCAGCCCTACACAGGTGTTTTCACTTTGTCTGATTAGACCACTGCATTTAAGTCATATCATTAAACCTTGAGCTACAATCAGCCGAGTTGGAAAAACCATTCACGTCAGACTCAGACTTGTAATTCTGAGTCAGAGATATAAGGAATTTCTGATAGCTATTGACGATATCGCCCATGAAAAAAAACTGCAGACTTGTCAGCAAACTCTTAGCAGAGTGGCTGCAAATGCATCATTGTTGTCAGTTAAATGGAGATAAGATTCAGAAATACAATCCATTCAGCTAATTTGAAATTTAGGCTGTTTATCTGGTGTGGCTATAAGGTTAGCACTAGGGCTAATCAACCAGGGGATAATGTGTGATCACTCCCAAGGCAGAATAACGTGGGTTTTTTTCCTGCTCTTTTGTCTGCTGACATTGTGTGATGAAGCTTTAAGTCGATTTTTCGGTCGAGTTATGCTGGTAATCAGTAGTAACATTTAGGGTTAACAAGGGTCAAAAGCTGTATGGTAGTATCAGCAGAATGTTTGGCATCCACGCTTGGAGATGTCCATCCACATCTAATGAGCGCAATTTATGTTTAAGTAAGTATTTTGAAATGAGGGGAGAGAGAGAGATGGACGTTGACATGCAGCTGGCCAGATGCAAAAAGGGAATGTTGCTGTTCAAGGTCAGTGCCTGAAACCCCTATAGGTCGCCCCTTTGTTTCTTTTGAATATTTTAGCTTAGTCTTTATGAGATAGCATGCAGTGGAGAGCTGACAGAAAATGAGTATGGACAAATAAAGGGGGATGACATATGTACCCAGCCAGACTCAATTTAGGGTTGTTGTGATTACAGTAAATGGTCAGTGTCTTGGAACTCCAGGCCACCAGGATGCTCTCACCCATCTTTATTTTAGAACTGCGACTGAAATCACACAACTTTTATGTACCGTCTCATCTGTCACATTGATGATTATTCAGAGAATATTATATATTATATATTCAGTATTTATCATGCAAGTGAACAGGCAGTCAGTTCATTCTTTATCTTATTTACGTACTTGTGTGCAAAGCTACAAAAATGTCCTTGGCTTTAAAACTTTAGAGTTGTGTTTACATCTAACTGACGGTGGCATCAGTCTGCATGGAGAATTGTCGCCTGGAGTTATGCTGATAATGTGATGTTAGAATAAAAAACAAAAGAGCAGATGACTGCGTAACTTGGTTACAAGGATTACAACATTGATAGTGCTTTAATAAATTGAACCTGACCTTTACAGTACAAAGAGCAACTTGATCATCACACCTGGGGGAAACAGAGAGAAATTAATTACAGAACAATAATGTCAGCAGGAAATAAAAATCTAATAGAGCGAAGATGATGTTTCCAATATTCTGTCGCCACCTTTGTTGCTGGCTGTGATTGGACAGCACATCTTCACCTTCAAAATGCTCACAGATGCCATGCATGATCTCTCGAGGTGTTAACGTGGTGTCTGCACTTCTTCCCCAGTGCTTCTCTGCATGTTGAGCTCCTCTGATTGAATCTGTTGTTAATTCTATCTTCCTCAAAGCGTCACAATGATCTGAATCCCCTTAATCACACATTGAAAAGACTTTTTTTCATCTTGTCGCCCAGCTCTGTCATCACTATTCTCCTGTGTGACCTTGTGTGTTCACAATCCCTCCTCCACTCAGCTTTGTGCTCTGAGAGGGAAAAGTCTGTGTGCTCATCAAATCACAACACCATAAAGTATCATTCGTTGCTTGCGTGTGTATGTATCAATCTCACATGGCTATTTGTGGGTCTGTGTTGCGTAACATAAACGCAAGGGAAGGTGTTAAATGAAGTGTTGTGGAGAAAGTCACATGTTTATATCTCTGGGGGGAATAAAGATGTGTGGATGCTCAGGGCACAACCCAGTTAAGCACAACCAGAAAGTATTTCATCTGGACAGGGAAGCAATCTATTCTTTGCCCTCTTTTTGACGAGATAACAGAACAGATGAATGCCTAGTCCCTAAACGGATCCATTTCTAGTATCATAGAACAGTACCAGGTCTGTGCAGACAGTGTAAGAACAGTTCTCCACTGAGTCTCGTATTACTGATGCTCACGTTTTGCCACACTTCTTATTATAATGCGCGACTGGTGAGATTGATTTCCATGGCATCAGAGAACATCTTGACTGACAATGTGACCCAGACAGGCAACAGCACAAATGTGTTGGTGTAAATTAAGTAGATAACTACATAAGAATAGGCAGCTATCGAGTCCAGAGTGCCATCTGGTGTTTATATAAAGCAAGACATGATGTGCACCTAAAAATAAAGTGTTGATAATATAATATAGTAGATTACATTGAAAGATATGTGTGAATGTATATCTTATTACCTCTAGCTTGATTCTGTATCAAACAGCAATCACTCTTGTATGGTATAATACTCATGCAAGCATGTAAAATACTTGGAGTCATATTAAAAAGATCATATATTGACAATATGGCCATGACTTGAAAAGAATTATAGGAAAATTGATTAAGTCAGGTGGTATTTTTTTTCATATGCATGGAGAATATCATGTTAGTGCTGTAGTTCCTGCTAACCTTCAGATGGCAGTGTTGTACTCTACATCATTACTGGTTGCAGGCCTGTACTGTAGATGAAGTCACACAAGAGCCTAGAAATCATCTGTGAAATACAATGGAGCCGCATGCATAGTATATGGAATGCCAGGGGAAATGGAAAACTATGATTTGATTTGTTAGGTTATTTAATGGAGACAATATAGATAGATATTGTTGCATGGGGAAACATAATGCAGCAGATGTAATTTATATAGGATGTCTAAGTGAATGGGCTTTGCTGCCACCCATACTTGGTTAATCTTATAAATTCAGGTTAAAACAACAATAATAAAACCAACTGAGGGGAAACAGAATGTGCTAATGTGTATGTACTGACTTATATGTTGAGAGTTTGTGTGTGAGTGAGTGTAAGTATGTATGTGACAAGTGGATTCAAATCAATTCATTGTTCACTTCTTGATGGACCATATCTAAATAAAAGACTAAACTTCCTAAATGTTAAAACCCTGGCTGTAAAAGTCATGGTATCGTTCAGCAAGTGGAGTTGAGAGCAGAGCTGCAGCGTGTGAGCTGCTGCTGTTTCAGCACCATAGACAGCGACTTCATGGAAAAGGCTCACTGATGGCGCAGGTGTTTCTGGTAATATTTCTGCATATCCTTTGAAATATTTTTCAGTTTTGTAAATAGCTGTAATGTGATAAGAGCTCGAGTGAATTGTATGAGTGTTTTTTTCTGCCTGAAGCGTTAGTTTTCCTGCTTTCATTTTAGTGTGTTTCCCTCTTTTTTAAACCCAAATGGTCATGCAGACACCCTCGCGTGAATAGTCCCTTTCTACCGCGTCTCACGTACAAGGCAGGAGCGGACAGTGGACAGTAAACCTGTGCCATACTGTCGGGGTTTACACTCCTCACTGAGCTACTACGAGTTGGAGAGAAGACGCATGCGTACTGACTTGAAGCAGCCGGTCGGAAAAAAAGCCTTATGTGCCATCGGATGTAATCAAGGCAAAGAATTACCTCTTCTCGCTGTGCATACATGGTGAAATTGTAAGTACTGGTAGCAAACCGATGTGTCGTTGCACGGATGTTTGGTGAGCGGAGCGTTTGAGGCCGTTTTCCCGGCGTTTTAAATGGCATGTCACTATCTTGCTGTACAGAGGGCTTTTAACAGATCTAGGCAGTGTCTTTTCGGTGGTTGTCCAGGGCGATGAAGCTCTATGGTTCTTCATGGTGGCACTTTCCATTGATGTGATGTGCGGGTTGCTAATGCAATAGTCTCTGCTGTTAAATCGCTCAGAAAGCATCACGTCCCCCGTGTCGTTCACGTTTTGTACTGCTGTGAGATTGAAGTAGCATTGTGGTTTATTTGTTGTTATCACGATTTATCCTTTGAATGGATACGACCACCCCACCCCCCATTTCATCGTCTATAGCTGTTGAGTCAAGCCATAGCGTACTGCAATTGTGTCAGCTTTGAACTACCCGACGCGTAAAATATGCCATTTGGCACAACGCACGAAATCTGCAGCCGAAGCCAGCTCCGAATCTGAGGGAAACCGCGCGCGGATCCATTTTAGAAATGACCAAATGGTATTGTATTCACTGAAAGGCTGTGATAGAGCGATGCTGCGGTTATAGATTTGCAAGCTGCGCCTTCAGGCCCCCCCCCCATGTACCAAATCTTCTGACATTTTTTTTTTCAAAGCATCGTTTTCTTGTGTCAGGTAGTAGCCGGATGATGCCGTGAGTTGGAAGCGGCAGCTTTGTTACATAAATGATCTGACAGGATTTGGCAGTGTCTGACCTGGTGATGACACATTTGTTAAAATCAGACAAGAAGTCATTCTGTGAGCATAGCCTGTAGTTGGTCTATAGGCCTACAAACATTCATGGGGATTCTGTTGAATACGCTAGAGAACTGAAGTCACAATTATACCACAGTAATTTCTCATGAGCATGATGAATGTAGCCTAAAGGTGCAAGACAGTTGACAAGTACAAATTCTAAAAATACAATATTTACATTATTTTCCAGTGAATTTAATTTATTGCTCCACTTGGGCCCAGTGAGCTTTGCAAATCATTTAATGCACTGCTGTTACACTTTCATAAATGGGATATTTCTAATTTTGGAAAATGGATATTGAACCCATGGTCACATGCAGTTAGACTATGTAAGGGATCATACAGCCAGTTTGAGATTAGAGGGAGTGAAATGTGATTTGCGGGTGCATGTTTGGCAGCAGGAAAAACTAAATCAGAGTTCTGAATTTGAATAATTCTTCCATACTTTTCCCCTGAATAGAGCGAACAACATTCCTTTACAGTGTGGCCTCTGGGCATGCCAGCACATGCTCCGGACAGAGAGCACCAGCGGTACTTTACTTCCTGTACATAAAACAAACAGATAGGTGTAAACTGGTGAGAGCAATTGAAATGAATTTAACCAATCTTTATCACGATTAATGTGATCAAGAAACAGATGCACTGTCAGGATTTCACACTGCCATCCCCTCTGCTCAGGATGATTACAGTACACCCGGTGCTGGCCTTGCCGTCTCTACTTCACTGGCACTGATTTGTATCCCACAAATGCAGCTAAATAGATTTTCTTACAACAAGACAAAATCTCAGCTAACTACTCCTGACATCGAAACACTGAACTCAGTGCCTCCCTCTCCTCTCTCCTAGCCCATGGGATCAGAGCGGATGGAGATGCGAAAGAGGCAGATGTCGGTGCAGCAGGAGTCGGCAGTGGGGGGAACTGCACCGGCCCAGCAGGGCCAGCCGGGCCAGGCCAACCCACGGGGCTCAAATGCATGTTGCTTCTGCTGGTGCTGCTGCTGTAGCTGTTCCTGGTAGGTCTTCCCCACCGGAGAACTCACTCATTGTGGCCCAGCATGGCTGACATTATTGCAACACAGGGCAGCACAGCCTGAGCTACTGTGTCTCAACAGCAGGCTCCAGCTTGTGTCTTATGCTCTTGATATTTTTGCATGTGGTCTGTAGGCATTTGTCTTACAGAAGCTTTATTACAATGTAAAACATGCTTAAACAACAGTTTGTTATCTGCTGTGAATGTGAGCGCTCTTAGATACTGGCAACAGCTGCACAACATGTAGTGAATATATATCCCTATCTATCTATCTATCTATCTATCTATATATATATATATTAGATAGATTAGATGGATAAGATAATGTTTCATTAATAAATAATCTGCAATTTCTTTTCTCAATTACTAGACTAATCATGCAATGTAAGAAAAAAGACCCTAAGGTGATGTCCATAAATTACTTTTTTCCATTCCAGTTTCTCAGAGCCAAAAATTACGTCTTCAAATGTCTTGTTTTGTCTGACCAGCTGTCTGAACCCCAAAGATATTCAGTTTAATATGATATAAAACAGAGAAAAGAAAGACATCTTTGGATTTGAGAGGCTGAAAACAGCTATTTTTGCTTAAATATTACTTAAAAATGAATCGATTATGAAAGTAGTTATTTTTCAGTCAATCAACTAATCGATTAATCAACTAACTGATGCAGCAGTTTACTATCATAGAAGGAAAGCTAGCAAAGAGTCACATTTGACAAGCAGTGAAATTCTGGTAATTTTGCTTAAAAGATGACTGTGACAATTGATTGATTATCAAAGTAGTTTCTGATACATTTTCTTTCAATCAACTAATCGATTAATTCAGCTTAATTAATTTTAATTAATTCATATCAGCTCTACATTGGAAAGAATGACTAAGACTGCTGGGATAAATAGCACTTACTCTGTTTACAAAGGTGATTTTATGTCCAAATGTTAAGATTGTATGTTCAACATATATAGCCTGCTATTACTTGGATATGACAATGTATGTGTTATTGCACAAAGTTTATGTTGCACTGTAATATAAATGATAGATATGTACAGTAAGTGATCAATATATAGGAATGAATTATTTCTCCTGAGAAATTATAATTTGCAGTTTGTAATTGGTTGAAGCGTAGCATCAAATATGTATACTTGCTGTAAAAATGAAATGAAATTTCAGCCATAGTGGTTGCGATAGTTTTTTTCTTTGGTGTGTTTTCATGTCGGTCTCATCATTAGGAACGAAGACCGGGATGATAGGAACCGAAAGGCATCTTATGACGTCAAGGAAGGGACCTCAGACTGTGAAGACTGGTCAGTTAAATTCACTGCACAAAAATGCCTCAACTATTAAGTCCTTTTTTTTTTTCTAAATGTTGAAGTCACTTACTCCCATGTTGTCAATGCTCTCTGCAGTCCTAAGCCCACATTGGAGGAGGTGCGCTCCTGGGGGCAATCGTTTGACAAGCTGATGTGTTGCCCAGCGGGGAGGAACTCCTTCAGACAGTTTCTTCGCACTGAGTTCAGCGAGGAGAACATGCTCTTCTGGTTAGCCTGCGAGGAGTTCTGCAATGAGACCAATAAGACTACGATAGAGGAGAAGGCCCGGGTCATCTATGAGGACTACATCTCCATTCTCTCGCCGAAAGAGGTTTGACAGCCCAGTTTCATTATTATGTTGGAACTGTGTTGATTTCAAGGGTGAAACTTCATGATGTCTGACAAATGTCCATCTCATTCTCCCTGACTTTAAAGGAATAGTTTAACATTTAAGGAAATATGCATAATCACTTCCAAAGTGCGAGTTAAATGAGGCTACAGTGACTAGCTTGTCAGCTTAGCTTAGCATAAAGATGGAAAGCTGGGGGAAACAGCTAGCCTGGCTCAGTCAAAAGGGTGACAAAATTTCCCTAGCAACTCCTCAAAAGCTCCTTAATTAACATGTTATATCTAGTTTGTTTAAAAAGTGTAAAAATGATTTAGTCAAGAAATAGAAAGAAACTGAAACCCCCCTGTTAAATAGTGAATTGCCCCATAAGCTTTATATCTAACCAGGCTAGCTATTTCCCCTAGTTCCCAATCTTTTTGCTAAGCTAAGGTAATCGGCTACTCAGGATAGCTTCACATTCACAAGAGATCACAAGAGACTTTGTCTCATAGAAAGTGCACACGTTGTTGTTCCTAAAGTTTTAATCTGTTGACTCCCAGGTGAGCCTTGACTCCCGTGTGCGTGAAGCGATCAACAGGAACATGCTGGAGCCCAACTCGCACACATTTGACGATGCCCAGCTGCAGATCTACACACTAATGCAAAGAGACTCGTATCCCCGCTACATGAACTCCCCAGCCTACAAAAACCTGCTCAACACTCTGTCAGAGCAGTCCCCCGAATCTTAGGGTGGTGATGACCTGTGATCTTTTAACTCTCTTTATCCCCCCCTCCCCCCCTCCCCCCAACTCTTACCCCCTTTTTTAAAATTTACTTTGTATGTGCAGTGTAGGATTACATGAACCGGGCCTCAGGCCTGGCCCCTCCCAGGGATCTCAGCTCTATTGTGATCTGCACCTGACCGAAGACACTCAGGTCTCAAAATCTCCCGAGGGCTTGACATCACAAGTACTGCTACAGATCAACATAGCAAAACACTCCAAAGGAATATAAATACATTTTGTTTCTGATTTCTTTTTTTTCTTTTGATAGAAATCTATTTTATTTGTGTTCAGAGTTTTTTATGGTCTGTTGTTTTTTGTATGATTGTTTGGGGGGGAAATGATTCCTACTGTAGACTATATATTTATGAGTTTGTAAATAGTAAAAATGAAATTGTGGGTATTTTATGTGAAAACGCCTGGTTCTATTTACTGCGTATGAAAATCAAAGCTCAAGTCAAAGGCTACATGTTAGCTCTACTTGCAGGCAGCTTTGTGGGGTACTGTATGATTTCACTTTATTTTCACCCTGTTTTGTTACCTAACCTCACACTTTGGTACCTGTGACAACGACTTGGCAACTCCAGTTCATGTAGAACTTGTGTGTAACTGAAGCTACTGTAAGTGTAAAGTAACAAAGTGACAGTAGCTCTTGTCACAATGTGCAATTTGTTTCCTTTTGAAACTCAAATCAATTATGAAAGTGTATTTTAACTTTCTTTACTCAATCTTAACCACAGAAGATTGCCTATTTAAAACACTATTTAAGACATTTTCTTTATATAAGTGCTACTCACTGCACACCTTATAGGTTTAATATAGTTTCACCAGTGTGACATAAGAACCACAGTAATTATATTTACCAGATAAAGTATTTTTTATTTATTGATATCTATTGCCAATATAGAAGAACCAACAAGTATAAATTATATTTAAGTACTTCGGGGGAAGAAACCATACTGTTATGCCACTGTCAAAAAAATGTAGAAATTTGGGTAACACTACATTTTACAGGTCTTTAGTTTCCTAATAACTCTCTAGGAACTTTCCTGGAAAGAACTATGGGATTTGGTACTAAATATGGGGAGTGACATTTTAGGAAATATGCTTATATGCTTTTTTCCTGAGAATTAGCTGAGAAGATTGATACCACTCCCATGTTTTTTCAGTAAATATGAAGCCACAGCCAACAGCTGGTTAGCTTAGCTTAGCAAAGACTGGAAACAGAGGGAAACAGTTAGCCCGGCTCTGTCCAAAGGCAACAAAAGCCGCTTAGCACCTTCAAAGCTCGATAACTAGCACGTGATTTCTTGTTTGTTTAATCCGAACAAAAACCTAAGTGTGAAAAAAATATTTGCTGTTTTTGTCAGGCAACCAGCAGACACTCCAGGATGCTGGCAAATGCTCCCGGCCAAAAAATAGTCCAGCATATAATCCCTTTACAATAGTTATTAACCAGATTTGATTAATTGGAAGTTTACCTACTAAATTGTTTCTATTTTAGCAATAAATACGACTAAATCACATTTCCAGAAAACAAGAAATTACAGACCTGTAAAAAGCATTACTCAAATTTATGAGATTCACATTATTCGACAGCAGGTTGAATCATCCTGGTAGATTTTGACTTAAGTCACAGTATGAAGAGCCCGTCTGCTGTGTGAAATTGACGTGATCGATTGGAACTGACACTGGGGTCAGGCCAGGTTAGCAGCAACACCAAAGCTACCATGTAAACTGTGTTCATACGTATATCGTGAGCGTTTCCATTGACTAAAATTGGAGTTGCCAAGTGTTAAAAACTTTTATGTATTCTGATAGTTTTAGTTGAATTACTTTGTTGCCTCACAAACATGTCACTCAAAGACAAGATCCTCACATGGGGAAGTGCCTTGACATTCAATTTTATGACATCTTTCTCATGGGCAACGGTTGTTTTCAGACTCTTGCCATAAGGGTGGTTACTGGAGCGCGAAGCCAGTTTACTGGAAATTGTCCCTCTCACTGGCCAAATTATCGCATGTGTTTTGTCTTGATTCCTTAGTCATGACTACATCAGTCCACTTTGGTAGCGCGGAGGATGATGAAAACACATGTCTTTATTTGCAGAGGACAAAGATCAATGGATAGGGCTGGTTGATCTGAACTTCTTGCCAACCTGTGTGCTTCACGGTGGGACTTGTACTTGTCTTAGAGTTAACTTTAACTTACTATGTGCAATTTGAGCTGATGGATACACCGCGCAGATCAACCTCAAAACACAATCTAAGCCAATGGTTTGGAGTGATGCCTATAAATGTTGTTTCTTCTTCTGTTTACTATATGAAATGTGTTATTTTGCGCTGAGTTTACTGAAGAATACATTTTTAAAAACAAATAATGTGAATGTTTACAGTATATGGTTTAGTTTTTTTTTTCTGCTACTCTCCAAGAAAATAATGACTTGTGGGCATTTTGATTAAGATAAAATAAAGCACAATAATTTTATCGACTCTGGACTGATTTAATCACTGAACCACAACACAGCTATAAAGTATTAAAACTTACCTGGGAAATTACTCAACTATTTTTTTCCTGATCTAAATTCAATTTCATTCATGTCCTGCTATCTATTGATAAGAAGCATTAAAGGATTTTTCAATTTAAAAAAAATGACTGATGTGAGTGAAATGCCTCTGTACCATGATGTCTGCAGAACAGGATGGTGGTGGATTTTCAATCAGACTGATCAGGTGAATCCAGTAGAAGAAAATCATCATTTAGTTTGAGTTGCTCAGGCGATGGGTTAATGGAATTAAATATGGTAGAGGAGGTACAACTTAATAGGAAGCTAAGGGCCATTGTTAAATAATTCACAAGACCTGCTGTGGGGCACTTATAACAGAACTTAGAAAAAATATGCTGCACATTTAAACTTCATGTTTATATCATTATAAATTATTCAATGGCATTTTGGCCACTGGGCTTTACTAAAGATCAGACTGGAGATTGTAAAAATTTATTGAAAAGTAGCAGTACAAGATATTTCAGAAAAACACTGGAAAATACATTGTCTATATGATGATGACAGCAGTGATTCCCACCTCTCTACATTATGTCTATCACATTGGTACTTCAAGACTTTTGATAATTTCATGATAGTTGCTTATAACCATGATTCGACATGTTTCAGAAGTCTGCTAAAGTCTGCCCAAATTAGTCCATTAGGATTTGTGTTATTGGAGTTTTCCTTATTTGATATAATAACAATGCTGTCGGTCACTTGAGAACATTGAGGGTTACCGTACCATCAATACTTTTGTACATACTGGGCTTAAATAGGGTCATATGAAGAGAATATATTCAAAAGAAAAAACTGTTTGAATGTTCAATCATTTTTACACATATATCAGTGGGGTCTCTCAGATGTGAAGCTAATGCCAATGAACCACAAGGGTTCAAGTGAATTAATCTACATAAGCACAGGTTGCATACTGTACGTTTTTGAGTTTTGTGCAGTTCAAGCAAAGACTGATGCTCCCTTCTTGCACTGTTGCTTCGTATCATGGTAATAATTTTTGCAACCTCATGAGAACCTCCACATTACAGGATGATGTTTGTTACAGGAGCTTTTGCCATCAAACAGGCTGATAAGGTGAATCCAGATAAAGAAATTATGTGTTTCATGAGATGGGTCGATGTGATTCGTGTTGTTTGAAGGAGGTACAACTTACTAATTAATAAGAAGCTGACCCTTGTTAGATAATAGACCATGTACTGAGGCACTTATCACCAAGAGTAGACATGGAAATACATGTTGTACACACAATCTCCATATCAAATTGAATTAGTAGATATTAAGTGAGGTTTTGGCCATGTAGCCTTCCTAAAATTCAATGATTAAACCCAGTTACTCTTGTGTCACTGGTCTGGGTTCAGTTTGTGTTGAGGTAAGGTAGCACAACAGCTCACGAGCACAGAGTGGTTGCACCTGGCAATTAAAAAAAAAGAAAAAAAGAAAAAAAGCCTCGAGGAAAGGAAAACAATTGTGCATCTTGCCTGGTTCAGCCACTGACATTATCCTTTCCCTAGACAGATTGATATGCATACATCTGCATTCACTTTGATGTGATGAATATTCCACCAATAACAAATGTATACTCCTCGACACACACACGCACGCACGCACGCACGCACGCACACACACACACACACACCTTTGTCCTTTCAGATCCTTGATTGCATTAGTATAATGTTAAAGATTCACACAGCCAGAGGAGACTGAAGGCACATCACACTGTAAGAGACTAATGAGAACTAATGAAAAGCACTTCTATTTAATCAAATGGATTACATTTTATTGGGAAATTAAATAAAACAATGCAATGTTGTGAGGGGAAAGCAAAACAACATCTTTCAAAGTGTTAAAACTACATATAAAAAATGCAGATAAAAGAGAATGAGACATAATTGATCGCATATATCTGACAGTGAGAAACAACTAATAACAATAGTAAAAGATTCTGGGAAGGGGGGGGGGCATTGGGGAACGGACAATGAGATCAATCTATGAACAGGATATTTACTCGAACGGTAACCGCAGTGGCATCTTTGTATGGCATGTTGTGCACCATTTACCCCAAAATACAAAGCTCCAATCTGTTGCTGATAGACAGAAACTGGTCCAGGAATTTTGCTACTTGTCAGTGTCGTGGATGATGCCTGCAGATTCAGCAGAACTAGGACACACACACAAAAAAGCAAATTAATACCCAGATACTGTGAGTTGACTTTAAACACTGCTGATCAAATAGCTGCAAAAGAAAAACTTTCCACATCAACAAAGACTGACTTTTCTTTTTTTTTTTACTAAAAACCTACAGTGAATAGCTGTAGTGTAATCTTTTGAGATGTATGTAGTATTGAATTAATGCATCATTTATTTATAAAGGGTGACTTATGAAATTGCACTGCTTGAATTTAAGGTATAAATTAAAACTCAAAGCATATCTTTTACACTCAGATGATGCAGCCTGTCAGCCGCTGTCAACATCAATTTAAATATTTTGATTTATTCTAATGACAATGAGTATGCAAGATATATGTGGGCGGTCTGCAAGTAACAATCATTTAATCTATCAAATCATTTTATCTATAAAAGAAATGGTGACAGACTGGTGACAAAATGCTAAGTTTGATGCCTCCAGCTAACCTCCAGACCAACGTCCACAACCCAAAGATATTCAATTTACAAAGATATGAAACGGAAGAAAGCGGTAAATGTTCACATTTGAGACCCTAGAACCAGAGAATGATTAATATTCTCTTGATGACTGATTGATAAATTGACTTATTGTGGCAGAGGCAATGTGCAGTATGTTGGACTCATGACACAGGCAGAGGTAGGACTTAAAATGTAAGTGAGCGTGTGAACAGTCTGCATGGAGAGTGGACAAGAATCAGATTGGATTTAAAATATCTTCAGAAAGAAAACAAAGTATTGATGCTGGAACATTGTGTGGAGATGCATACATCTCAAACGATAAAACACAAAAGTAGAAGTCTTGGCATAGTGGGAGCAGCTACATGATGCTCCCACACAAACAATGGTGTGTGTCAGTGCAGAGTTAGGTGATGGACTCCAAGACTGAGTCAACAAAGCAACATTAACCAGCATACCTTCCATCTATTTCCGCATTGATTGCAGAAGACAAACGTGGTCATTGGCTCATCAGCACTGCGAGTTTGAACCTGGGAATGACAAAAAAAAAAAAAAAAGAAAGAAAGAAGCACAAACACTTTAGTGCAATATCATTCTGAACACGCAGTGCTGCTCAACAGCTGTCTAATCTGGATTATAATCATTGATAAACTAACCTAATATAAGAATACAGGGCACCAATTTGCACATAACTTGTTGAGCACACTAGCGTGCCAATATTATATATGAATATATATAATAATGTAATATATGAATTACATCCACCACATTTACTTTGTACAGATTTTTCAGAGTTGATTTTCTTGTTACACCTATGTCACCATCAACCACAACATCCATAAAGGCTTCTACTTCTACCATGATTAAAGCACAGGTGGCATTTTTTTTTTTTTTTACCTGTGTGTAGGTGCAGCACTTCCCCTTGCACTTGCCACAAGTGAATAGATCAGTCTGAGTGCCTCCAGTTGTGGCCATCTGGTGGTCCCTGACAGCCTCTTTGGTCAAATTCTTCCTCATTTCCTTCAGCTCATCACTGGCCATTTCCTACAGAAGAATGCCAATAATGATGCCTTTAAGTGAACAGTATATAATCAAGTTAGAGAAACATGGAGCTAAAAGACAAACTGAAGAAAGATGTCTGACAGCAGTCATCCAGTAAAATGTTAGAATATGGATATAACTGACTTAGTTCCATTTCTGTGACTTTTAAGACTAAGCCATCAACAGCAACTCACCTCTGCTGTCATCTTCGCCATCCTCTCAGGGGTTACACTCCCACATAACACAGTCCTCCTTAAATTGGGGTTCTTCATATCCTTCAGATTTGAAATCCGGCTCCGCACACGGTTCTTGTATTTCATGTCTGTGTTCTTAAACTCTTGGAAGATGCGTGATGATAGGTCAAGGAATTCACTTTCAGCATTGTATTATTCATGTTTCATTATAGAAAAGTATAGCCTAAAACTACACTGATAAATACAGCTTTTAGATGTGTTAGTGTTAAAACTTTTAGTGACTGATTAATTAATTACCTGAAAATCAATCAACAATTTTAATGACTGATAAAGTATTTAAGTTATTTATTAAGCAAAAATACCAAATATTCTTACATTTTCCATTCAATGTGAAGGATATATTCCTCGATCTGTGCTCCAAGTTCGTCACAATCAGCACCAATAGCAATATAATCATCTGTCAGAGAGTGGACAAACAAAATGTTAAATATTCTCTAAGTAAAGCTGATAGTGACCAACCACAAACACAGATATGATATGTTGAGAATTTATTGTACATTTGACAGGATTACCTCCAGTCTGCAGAGCATTGGCCAGCATCTCTCTGCACTTGAGCCTGATAGAATCGGAGGTGCCGGGGGCACGAGGAAAGGTGTTGATTAACGTGTTGGGTGTGACTTCAGTGGGCTCACTCTTGCTGCTGGAGTTACTGCTGGAGCTGCTATAGGAGAAATAAGAAAAGTTAAATCAGATACTGAAGCAAACCATAAAAACAGTATGTGTATATATATATATATAATGTGTAGAAAATGCATTCCATAGCCGCATGCAATTGGAAAAATGACTTGTCTTGACAATCAGTACAAACAAAGATATCAAAAATATCAGAGCTTTTCTTGTTACCTTTCTTCTTTTGCCTCTGGGCTTCCCTCTGAGGGAGAAACAGGTGTCGTTTGCTCTTTCCTCTTCTCATCTGCAGGTTTCTCTCCACCTCCAGGCTCATCTAGAGCACAGGTGATAAAAAAACAAGCAAGCAAGAAAATCATACAAGTGCTAGCGAAACGAGCAAAGGCCAATATTAAAGTTAGTAAAATCAATACTTTTGTATGCCTGACAGCTGAACAGCTCTGTATTAAGAAAAAATAGCCTCACAGCTTTCCATTAATAGTTTCTTGCAGTATTTTGTAGTGCTCTTCAGTGTTTCTTGATAATAAGTGCTTGGAGAGAAGTCTCAATGAAGAACCTTTTTCAAAATTATTTTCTGGAATTGCAGCCTCAATTGATGGTAGATAGTAGAAACTGATGGAGAACATTGGGGAGGGGAGGAAAGGCATGCAACAATGGGTTCCTTTGGTAGGAACTGAACCAGGTACACTGTGATTATATGGTATACATCTAAACCACTTAGCTAACAATAGTTCTACCCTCAGTGCAGAAATGCTGTGGCAGAAAAAATGGGGTATAAAAATATGAGAGCCTCTCTTCAACTCCAGCATGAACAAAATAGAAGATAAAATGCAATTTTCACAAAAGCAGCAATTTAGCAGCAAAATATGATTGAAGCAGAAGCAAAGTAACTATGATGGTGAGGCAATATACTGTCATTTTGTGATATTGTTGCCTTTTTAAAATATCATCTTTGCTCATACATATCCGTTCAGATTTTAATCATAAAAATGCTAATTGAAGCAATAATAACACTATTTGTGGTAATAACCAAATGAAAATAGGCAAATTAGAATAAAATCCCACGCATTACACACACAAACAAAAAAGCTTATCACATATCAGAAGTGTAATTTTAGCAGCAAACATCAAACACGATTAGAGATTATATTATGGATATTCGGAAAACATCATGATACGATATTATGCCAATATTACACAATGACTAGCAACCCTTCCTTAAAACTCGGATATTCTTTGGCTGACGTTTGTCTCCATACTGAAACTGATGGCTGCTGTTCGTTTGTTTGTGCTGCTTAAGAGCTCACTTGCTCACATCTCTGTGGGTTGAGAATAGGTGTCAGCAATTTAAAAAATTCCAACTGGATAGTTTTGACAGCTGGTGTCCCAAGAGTACAATGTGTTACAATAAGCAAATCATCAAACTTAGTTTGAGTTCCACTGTTCAGCTACAAAAAGATGTCTTGATTGGCTCTGATACAATCATGCAAAACAGCTTGGGACATCAAATATATAATTTTCAGAAAAAATACATACAACAAAACAAATTTACACACATTTAAGTATTCAGAGACTGGAAAAGTGAAATTTACCCAAAAGCTTCTTCCATGATTTGATCAAGGACTTGGCTAGAGATGTCACCTCCTCATCTGTGCTCTGCTTGCGGATGGCGTTAACGGACATCCCAATTCTGGTAGACTGTGGAAAGACATTGAGTCAGAGTTCCAGGGTTTGAGCGCTGCATGTGTCGATGGATACCCTTGAGAACAAATGAGCAAAGATACCTGAAGCAGCTCCAGAGTCATGGGGACACTGCGTAGCTCCTTCAGTAGGTCCAAAGCCCCAGCCTGCAGAGGGGAGGACAGGGAGGGATGTTTAGATACATTTTGACCCATCTCACACCGGACCTTTAACTACTGTACCAACCAGGTCAAATCACACAAATACTGGTTTCTTCTAAATCTTGGGGTTATTCTACAGGAGTTAGATTTGAGTTATTCACAGGAATATTTCAGATGTGAGAGAGTCGGACAATATTGATTGTTAACTTGTTAGAATTCTTTGAATACAGGAAAATAAAGTTATATAGTTTTCATACATGGCAAACATTGACATGTAGAGGTAAACTAATTACCAGTCGGTTAGTCTGTTTATTCAACTAACAGATATTGTATCTGCAGCAATTTTGATAACTGATTAATCACTTAAACAAAAAATTTAATTGTTTTAAATTCTCAAATATGATTATTTGCATATATATATATATATATATATATATATATATTGACGCAACCACAAACACAGATATGATATGTTGAGGAATTTATTGTAAATTTGACAGGATTACTCCAGTCTGCAGAGCATTGGCAGCATTCTCTCTGCACTTGAGGCCTGATAGGAATCGGAGGTGCCGCGGGGGCACGAGGAAGTGTTGAATTAACGTGTTTGGGTGTGACTTCAGTGGGCTCACTCTTGCTGCTGGAGGTTACGCTAGGTGAGCTGCTTATAGGAGAAATAAGAAAGTATAAATCACATTACTGAAGCAAACATAAAACAGTATGTGTATATATATATATATTAATGTGTAGAAATGCAATTCCATAGCCGCATGCAATTGGAAAAATGACTTGTCTTGACAATGTCAGTACAAACAAAGATATCAAAAATATCAGAGCTTTTCTTGTTACTCTTTCTTCTTTTGCTCTGGGCTTTCCCTCCTGAGGGAGAAACAGGTGTCGTTTGCTCTTTCCTCTTCTCATCTGCGGTTTCTCTCCACCTCCAGGCTCATCGTAGAGCACAGGTGATAAAAAAACAAGCAAGCAAGAAAATCATACAAGTGCTAGCGGAACGAGCAAGGCCAATATTAAAGTTAGTAAAATCAATGACTTTTGGTATGCCCTGAAGCAGCTGAACAGCTCTGTATTAAGAAAAAATAGCCTCTACAGCTTTCCATTAATAGTTTCTTGCAAATATTTTGTAGTGCTCAGCCTGGCGTGTGTTCTTGCTTGATAATAAGTGCTGTAGAGGAAGTCTCAATGAAGATCAACCTTTTTCAAAATTATTTTCTGGAATTGCAGCCACTCATATGATGGTAGATAGTAAGAAACTGACTGGGAGACATTGGGAGGGATGGAAAGGCATGAGCACACATATGGGTTCCTTTGGTAGGGAACTGCAACCAGGTACACTGTTGATATAGTGGTATACATCTAAACACTTAGCTAACAATAGTTCTACCCTCCAGTGCAAGAAATGCTGTGGCAGAAAAAAATGCGGGTATAAAAAATATGAGAGCCTGCTCTTCAACTCCAGCATGAACAAAATAGAAGATAAAAATGCAATTTTTCACAAAAGCAGGCAAATATAGCAGCAAAATATGATTGAAGCAGAAGCAAAAGTAACTATGGATGCGTGAGGCGAATATACTGTCATTTTGTGATATTGTTGCCTGTTTTTAAAAATATCATCTTTGCTCATACATATCCGTTCAGATTTTAATCATAAAAATGCTAATTGAAGCAATAATAACACTATTGATGTGGTAATAACCCAAATGAAAATAGGCAAAATTAGAAATAAAATCCCACGGCATTACACAACACAAACAAAAAAGCTTATCACATATCAGAAGTGTAATTTTAGCAGGCAAACATCAAACACGATTAGAGATTATATTATGGATATTCGGAAAACATCATGATACGATATTATGCCAATATTACACAATGACTAGCAACCCTTTCCTTAAAACTCGGATATTCTTTGGCTGACGGTTTGTCTCCATACTGAGAAACTGATGGCTGCTGTTCGTTTGTTTGTGCTGCTTAAGAGCTCACTTGCTCACATCTCTGTGGGTTGAGAATAGGTGTCAGCATTTAAAAATATTCAACTGGATAGTTTTGACAGCTGGTGTCCCAAGAGTACAATGTGTTACAATAAGCAAATCATCAAGACTTAGTTTGAGTTCCACTGTTCAGCTACAAAAGATGTCTTGATTGGCTCTGATACAATCATGCAAAACAAGCTTGGGACTCAAATATATAATTTTTCAGAAAAAATACATACAACAAACAAAATTTACACACATTTAAGTATTCAGAGACTGGAAAAGTGAAAATTTACCCAAAAGCTTCTTCCATGATTTGATCAAAGGACTTGGCTAGAGATGTCACCTGCCTCATCTGTGCTCTGCTTGCGGATGCGTTAACGGACATCCCAATTCTGGTAGACTGTGGAAAGACATTGAGTCAGAGTTCCAGGGTTTGAGCGCTGCATGTTGTCGATGGATACCCTTCGAGAACAAATGAGCAAAGATACCTGAAGCAGCTCCAAGAGTATGGGGACACCTGCGTTAGCTCTCCTTCAGTAGGTCCAAAGCCCAGCCTGCAGAGGGGAGGACAGGGAGCGGATGTTTAGATACATTTTGACCCATCTCACACCGGACCTTTAACTACTGTACCAACCGACAGGTCAAATCACACAAATACTGGTTTCTTCTAAATCCTTGGGTTATTCTACAGGAGTTAGATTTGAGTTATTCACAGGAATATTTCAGATGTGAGAGAGTCGGACACATAGTTGATTGTTAACTTGTTTAGAAATTCTCTTGAATACAGGAAAATAAAGTTATAATAGTTTCCCAAT